TGTCCAACACTTCAGGCAGTCATTGACTGTAAAGGATTTGCAACCAAGTATTAAAACTGACTGTTTAATTGATGATTATGTTAGTTTGTCCAAATACTTATGAGCCCTTAAAGTCGGGGGACTGTGTGAAGAAATGGTTGTCATTCCTACACGGTTCATACTACATTTTTGAAAAAAGCCTTAAATGAAAGCTGAGAGTCTGCACTTTAAGCAGGTATTCATTGTTTCATTTAAAACCCATTGTAGTGGTGTACAGAGCCAAAATGACGACAACTGTATCATTGTCCAAATAATTATGGACCTGACTGTAAGTAATCATCTTAAATATTTAGGCTAATATAATTTAGATCTGCCCTGTAAAAGTGTGCGCATTGAATGAGTGTTTGGTGCGAAGATGTTATTACCGCTTGTCATAAGAAAACATGCGCTCACTTGTAAGGTCCTCTTCACACCTAACACTCATTCAGTGCACTATACACACACTTTTACAGGGCAGATCTAAATTATATTAGGCAGCTTTGTATGTATGAAAATTATTTAACGTGTCAGTATCACAGGGTTTCCCCCGGAAAGGTTGCTGGACTGTGTGGTATTTATTCAGTTTTGGGAAATCACGATGTCTACCAAGTATAAGCTATAAGTACAAGTATAAGCTGCTACCAATTTAAATGACTGTCAAGTCAGCGGACATATTAACTCCGTATCCTCAATGAACAGTCCATGAAAAAAATATTTTTTCCAGCAGATATCTTAGTTACAACATGATTGAGCTAGCAAAGCAGTTTTGTGTTGCTATGTGTGGTATTTATTCAGTTTTGGGAAATTACAATGTTTAGAAAGCACAATCTCAGGGAGCGCCATGATCTGTGATGCATCCATATATCAAATGTGCACACCGCCCCCTACTGTATTAGATGGGTAGCACCATGGTCAGCTGAAGAAGAGCGGCTCCTGACGTCACTCTCCTGCGCCGCTCAGATTGCCAAATCATTTTCGAATTATGGTCACTATTTTGCAGGGCAGACCACGAAAATGAAATATCAATGTCTTCTTTGTTTTCTTTTTGATTATGGCATAAAATGTGCAGTCTTGAAGAAGAAAATGCAAATGCAATAGGTTGATTGATTATTCATTTTATTTATGAGTCAGATAATGCAGCCACATTCTTAAAATGAAAAGCATTTCTGTAAATGCATTTTAATTTTCAAATTTTACATTTCATATTGAATTTTGGTATCTATTTGCTGGGGTATATTTTGAAAATTAAATCTCAAATGACTTTTTCTTTTTCATTTTAATTAAGTAAAAGAATGAGCAGTCTTGAAGAAGAAAATTAAAATGCAAATAGGATGATTGATGATTAATTTTATCTATGAGTCAAATAATGCAGCCACAATCTTAAAATGAAAAGCATTTCTGCAAATACATTTTAATTTAAATATTAGTCACGATTCGCTTCCATACCATTTACTTTGATCTGTGAAGTAATACAAGACAGTGGATTGACTAACTGCCATTTTTTCTGTATTTTGTGTGTTTCCAACAGTTTGAGGCGGCTTGGGCACTGACCAACATCGCCTCAGGTACCTTTCTGCACACCAAGGTCGTGATTGAAACGGGAGCAGTTCCCATTTTCATTGAGCTACTGAACTCTGACTATGAGGACGTCCAGGAACAGGTAGGAGCCTACAAGACAACAAATTGGACATGGGTGTATGTGTCATCGTAGACCATAAAACAGTACTCACTTGCAATATATTTTGTTGAATTAGACGCTGGCCTCACAATGGGCTTTTTTTGCTTGTACTTTGTATGGTACTGATAAATGGACTTGCATAATACCTTTCCAGTGTTCTTAGAACTCAAAGCACTTTAACACTGTGAGTCACATTCACCCTTTCACATACACATTCACGCTGCTGGCAAAGGCCAGCAAGATGCCTCCTGCTACTAATATTTTAGATATTCACACACTGTTGGCACAGCCATTGGGAGCAATTTGTGATTTATTATATTGCCAAGGACACTTTGACGTGTGGACAGAGGAGCTGGGAATCGAACCACTGATCTTCCCATTAATGGCCAACCTGCATTACCTCCTGAGCCTTACTGTGAATTGAGGTGCAGTAGTTGTCTGGTAATGCATGAAAAGGAATTAACTTGGGACAGATATTAACGAGGCTGTACATTACAAGGCTGGTAGTTCTCTACTCCACTCAGAAATCAACATAAAGCGTCATTCATGAAACATGAGCAGAACGAATTTGTGTGTAAACTAGAGCCGTAATGGTACATGTATTTGTGTCGAACCGTTCGGTACGCGACTTTCGGTTTGGTACGACCCTGTACTGAATTATTGGGCGCAGAATATTATTTTATTTTATTTTGTTTTATTTTAATTCCGTTTTTGCGAGCCGAACCATTTAAAATATCTAGTTCCCCGACGGACATAATTGAGTGACGGACCGAGTCCGACCGTAAATCTCCGCTTTCACTTTGTGCAGCGCATTCTTGCATTTTGACAACATGGCAAGTGAGCCTGACGAACCTGAAGACCCACCCGCAAACCTTAAGTCCTCCGTTTGGGAACACTTTGGTTTCAGGGTAAAATACGAAGATGGAAATAAACAAGTGGACAAGACAAAAGCAGTGTGCCGACACTGCAGAACAGCGGTCGGGTATGTACATGGAAACACGTCTAACATGCTAACGCATCTAAAGCGACACCACCCGAGTTTGAACGTTAACCAACACGACTAGAAAAAGCAATCTGGTGCAAATTACGATATCGTCGTCATTTAAAAAGAAAGAGCGTTTCCTTGACCATCGCGCTAAAGAAATAATCAACGCCATTGGAGTTGAGTAAAATTGTTTAAGCTGCACTTTAGATATAAGCATGTTTTGTTTACTGCACTTTAACAAAGTGGGGAAGCTAAGTAAGTTCCTAGTAAAACTGAATCTGAGCAGGCTTTAAAGCTGACCAGCTGCACTATACTTTTTATTTTAATTGAGTAAAACTGTTAAAGCAGAAATGTATATTTATATTTTTCATTCAAAAAATGTGTTAAAAAAACAGCAGGATTTTATTTTTCACTTTTATATTTCTATTTTCATTCAAACAATGTGAAAAAGCAGGATTTTATATATATTTGTTTCATTCAAAAATTGTGTAAAAAGAGTTAACTGCTGTGGTGGTATGTTTTAATAAGGTTACCAATAAGTAAAAGATATTTAATAGTTGTCTATTTTTTTCATTACTGTACCGAAAAAAAACGAACCGTGACTTGTGTACCAAGGTACGTACCGAACCGTGATTTTTGTGTACCGTTACACCCCTAGTGTAAACTGTTTGCAGAAGGAAATTAATGTGTATGTCAGCATTCATCAATTTGTATTGTGTTCTGTTGTGTTATTTGTTATATGCATTTATGTCTTTGAAATATGTAAGTAAAACATGACAAGACATTAGAAATATAACACAGCTAAATTATTCAGCAATTAGCAGATTTAAGCTACGGATTAGGAGTTATTTAAATCGACTTAATACATGTGAGTTCTACATTTCTGGCATCCTGTTCCCACTTGAATCAATGAAGAGAGAGAACTCCACAAAGTTATCTTCCGTTTGAATGGTGACATTGTGAGACCCATGTCACTGACAAAACACTAAGCTATCAGTGATTGCTGTCAGAAGGTGCGGTGATGTACGCGTTATATTAAGTGTTAGATCACTATACATTCTGAGTTTACTGTTGACTGCTCCGGTGGTTGCATATCTGGTTGTATTAAACCATGTTGCAAATCAGTGACAAAGACTGATTAATGGTATTACTAGATTTGATTTTTACATTGAATTTCATTGAATTTGATGATTTAACAAATAAAGTCTTTCCTGGCCGGCCTTTTTTAATCCATAAACAGTTTTTAAATAGATTTACATAGAAATTACAATATCACATGATATTGGGGGGTAGAACAAAACCTAAGTTACGGGTTAAGTTCTTCTAGTCGAAAAGACATATACACATTCATATCACAATGTAAAATTACACATGACCTTGAGGACTTTATCCATAATACCCTCTTCTCTCACCCCTCAGGAGGCTGTCATATGTGAAATTCTTGAACTGAAACATGATGATTGTCCTGAATATGCTGCTAATTTTTGCCTGAATTTGACCAAAAATCAGTTTGAGAATAAAATTGAGGTAAAAAAACAAAACAAAACAGCTTACATAGTTGCAGAAGCTTGCGTAATTTATATCTTCAATGTCTAGTTTTTGTAGTCAGGATTATAACCTAAAGCCCCATTTCCACCCAAAACTTTAGGTGTAGTACCTTTACAATGTAATGTAAGTCCTACAGACACATACCTAGACCTTTGATCTGCTCAGCATTTCCACCGCAGACAGTACTCGTTCATGTGGACAGGGTTGTTTTCACTCACTGCTATTTCCAGCTCTCGCTATATTTCCTTGTCACTGTGATACAGAGGGAAGTCTGCACCTAATTTTTTGTCCACAAAGAGGAGTTGCATGCCAACAGTTTGGAACAAAAAGAACAGGCAGGAGTGACAGTCTTCTCAATAAGATATTTTGTGCGTTGAGACCTTACTGAGCAAGATTTTTGTGCTGCTGGAATGCACTGTAATGATGCCCCGCCACGTTTTTTCTCCAAGTGAGGAGTGAGAATTCATTAATATATTTTTAAATGCTTGAAGATCCAATCTGATGGTGCTGATGGATTTACTTCATCAACTCATGCATTGAGTAACTTTATAAGTAAACCTTCTACCCAAAAAGGTGCCGGTTGCTGCCAGCAGGTGGCACACTGAATTACAGAATTTTTTCTCTGTCTACAGCCGCTGCTAGAGGCAACAAAACATCCTTTCATGTTATAGTTTGCTAATGTATGTGAAACTTGCCACTGTATGAACAGTTGTCACATAAGCGTCAAAACCAGCCACAGAGCACCCCTGAGCAACAGTGATGGTTCTCTACTGACCAATTAATTGGTCTGCTGTGTTTCTGGCTCCACTTTTAGTACCAAATTAGTGCGCTAGGTACCCCAACAGAGGGGTGACCAAAAATGAGGACGGTTCTGTTAGTACTACGGCTGGGGGGTATACTGGTTCGTACCTGGTATTTATTTTCATTATGATATGAATTTTTCATGTACCGCAATATCGGTGAATAGCCCAAACAACGTCCAGAACGTGCGCAGCGGGAAAGTGTTTCAGCGGGGACCCATTTCACTGCTGCACACCACAGGCGTGCTAGAGCCAGCGAGAGTGAGAGCATAGAGCAAAGTTTAGTTTAGTCCGAGACAATTATAACTGAACACGGCACATATGGAGCAGAGCCTGTGTTGCGTTCAGGCGTTGTCACGTAAATAACAAATTCCAGCACTTGAATAGGCCATATCACAACACAGCAGCATGTCAAGTGGACTGAACCCGAGCAAAATACAGTCAAATACCATGAAACCGATATGATTTTTTAAAAAAACATGATATGAAAATTTTGTCATTTTGAATTTTGTCATACCGTCCAGCCCTAGTTAGTACCATCCATAACTTTTCCCAGTGGAAACAGAAACTAAGCGTTCTAATGTTTACTGAACTGAACTAAACTGAACCAGACTGCTTGGTGAAAATGAGGCTAAAAAGCCCTCATAGCTCACTGGTTGGTCCAGTACATTGTCACTTAATCACTGAGGCTTGGTGACTGTGATGTGTTTCAGGCCGTATGGGCACTGGGGAACATAGCAGGAGATAATGCTGAGTGCAGAGACTACGTGCTCAACTGTGGCATCCTGCCATTTCTACAACAGTAAGCATTCTTCCTCTGTCTGTCTCAGTGTAGTGGGGTTTCCATCCACCTATTTTTATTCGCATTTTCAAAAATTGCGGAAAAAAAACTTGGATGGAAACACCAGAAATTCGAAAAAAGGCTGAAAATTCGCAAAAATGTTTTTACGCTTAGAGGGGGTGGATTTGTCAGCGTATCAATAAAAGGAAAATGCGACTTTTTGCTATGGAAACAGGTTTTGTGAAGAAACGATGACGTACCGGCACACAGATCCTCAAATGTGGCCCTTGACATACGGAAATGTTTCAGCCAGAGTTCGTGAGTGAAATGCTGCTGGACAACTACTTCCCAAAAGTCCTTCACACGCCTACGTTCCCATACACACGGAGAACGACGCGGTGGTCTCCTTCCAGCTATTTCCGACAGTACTCTTAACATTAAACTTCTTCTTTGTCGTCTCTTCTTCAAGATAGTTAGGTACGCTGTGAAGGCTGACAAAATGCTAACCAGAGCCGACAGGTTTATTAGGAATCTGTCCATGGTCAGTTGTTGAGTGTCAGTTGAGTGTGTTGTTGTTTACAGTGGGCATAAGACGCTCTCTTATGACGTCATCTCATGGCGCACTCTTCTTCTACGGGGGTGTTTTTATTTTGTTCATTTTTCACGAGAAGCGCCACCTACTGCTTTTCCTGTTGACTCCCAATAATCGCAAAACAATAACGAATGGAAACGGCCATAAATTCTCATTTTCTTTTGCGCATTTTCACAAAATTCGCTCAAAAATTTCGATACATTTGGATGGAAACCCCACTTGTGTCAAACATCATGTGATACTAACTGGCTCTTGTGTTGTCATATCCAGGCTACTTGCTAAATCCAAACGTCTCACAACAACCCGCAATGCAGTGTGGGCTCTGTCCAACTTGTGCCGAGGGAAGAACCCACCACCAGATTTTGCTAAGGTGAGTCTGTCAGTACATTTACATGCACACAGTAGTTGAGCTAAGCTCATAGCTCGGCTAGTCAGTCAAGTCGGACTTATCGTCTTGTCTGAGTATACATGCAGAAGAGAAAATCAAATTTCTGACCAAGTACGTCTTACTCCGCCTCGATATGCGGAACTGTGTCCTTTTTAATACAGTGCGTATTGAACTAGTTACAGTTCTTGTTCAGAAACTTTTTAAAATACAGTAAATCCGCATTTCGCGTCTTTCTACCGTCCATAAACTTCAAAATGTTAAGCTGCTTTAGCTGTCAGAGCATGAATGTAGTTTCCTCGTCCGTCTAGAAGTGCCTCTTCTGCTTCTTGGTCGCCATGGTGTTTTTTTGTTTTTCCGGCAGTTACTGCACTGCTGCTACATCATCTCTTTCTTCTTCTGGGTGAAAGCCCACAAAAGAAAAAGTGGTGCACGTGTAGAACGCCAAGTCTGACTCCTGTCAGACCAAGTGGATACAATGCAGCAATAGTTTGATTTTCAATCGAATTATCTAGGTGTGTTAGTCGAGCTACGGATAGTCCAATTTCAGTCGAACTAAGCTGTTAACATGCATTTAGAAGTCCGGTTCAGTCGGACTAAGCCAATAATTCGATTTTCTCAAGCTGCATGTAAACGTACTGTATGTGTCATAACTTAATTTGAATACTGGAGCCAATTTGCCTTGTTTCTGCTTGCATAATTAATTTTTGAATTGCTCCTTCAGCACTGGCATTAAACTGACCTGGGCGCTTGTCTCTGTGACTGGTGTTTTTCAGGTGTCTCCTTGTCTCAGCGTGCTATCCAGGCTTCTTTTTAGTAGTGATCCAGATGTGCTGGCTGATGCTTGCTGGGCTCTGTCCTACCTGTCTGACGGCCCTAATGAAAAGATCCAGACGGTCATTGACTCCGGGGTCTGCCGCAGACTGGTGGAACTGCTCATGTAAGAAACTGACTCACTTTTTCCTGACTCAGTAGAGGAAGAACAGTCCAAGCTGAACTGTCAAAATTTCGGGCTGACATGTATGTGACAACATATGACCAGGTGTCCCATAACAATGAAATTATAAACAAGGTGAGCCCATTATTTTCTCTTGGGACACCTCAGGGTGCATTATCATGTTTATGCTGAAAAGGAGGCAGTGTCTCAGTTAGTTAGCCACTTTTCCGGGGTGCAAACGTGTCACCTTTGGGTGAAAATCACAATTTTGAATCCAAACCAGGTGTGATTCATGTAGATCTGACGTTTAACATCGACTCGGCATACTGTGTGGTGGAATGCAATGTGTGACCATCAATAGTGGTATCGCTGTTCGTTGATTGACCCTTGCTCTCCACTGTCGCTAAAGTTACGCTTGCTCTTTCTAACTCTTGGCTCAGCTCGATTATCAATGGTACTGATCAGGTACCACAGAGGAGAATTTCACACTTACTGCAAAGACAGTCTGCAAGTTTGTTGAAGTACATCAGCAAAGTTCAGTTAAAAGTACATTTACAGGAAAGTGGCCCCAGATAAGGGGTGAGTAGAGGTTGACAGCATTGCCAGTTCATTTTCCAGCTGATCCAAAAGTGTTTTTAAAGAGTTTATATAGCTTAAGAAGGAGAAGAATTTTCTCAACACAAAAAGGAGCACTTCATCTTTCAGTTTATCACAAACATACAACATCAGCACATCTGAAGATACATGGTTTTCACTGGACAGGAAGGGAATGAAAAAGTGACTAATGCCAGGTTCAGACTACACAATATTAGCCTGTTTATAGCGCGTGTGCAGTGTCGGCTCGGATCGTGAACCACAATGAGTGTTGTACGCAGTAATTCTTTTTTTGGTAGTCCTGTCGGAGGCGTTTCTTCTTGTTGTTGTCTGTCTCTCTGTTGAGTTTTGTTTTGATGTCTCGTCTAGCTTCGATCTCCCTCCAAGTTGTATCTATGATCCAGTCTTTTCTTCTGGGGTCTCTGTAGCCCAGGACAGATTTGCAGGTGTTAATGACAGCCATCTTGCATCTTTCCCATTTATTGTTTATGTTATCTCCTTCTGCTAGGGCTTGGAACCAGTTGTGAAGATGGATTTCCCATTCCTGTCTTATTTTGTTATCCTTCAGTTTCCTCGTTTCAAACCTTCTCTGAACCCTGTTCCTGACTTTCTTCTTCACTGCCAGTTTCATTCCCAGTTCTCCCACGAGAAGATGGTGGTCAGAGTCTGTATCAGCGCCCCTCTTGACTCTGACATCAAGGAGAACTCTCCTCCATTTCCTGTCTATTGCAATGTGGTATATCTCATTTTTGGTGTGGTGGTCTGGGGATATCCAGGTAGCTTTGTGGGTTTGTTTGTGTGGGAAGAGACTGCCTCCTATCACTAGCTCATTGAGGGCACAGAAGCTGGCAAAGAGGAGCCCATTCTCATTCATCTGCCCCAGTCCTTAGGTCCCCATCGTTCCTCTCCAGTCGTTGTTATCCTTTCCAATTTTTGCATTCAGGTCTCCCATTACAATGTTTAAGTTTAAGTTTTAAGTTTATTTTACTTTATTAATCCCCCTGAGGGGAAATTAAATGTTTTCACTCTTGCTTGTCAATTACACACAGGTCCAAAAGACACACACATGCACAAACAGGACCTATACAAGCACAAAGTGGAGAGATGTCAGAGTGAGGGGGCTGCCCTTGGTGAGGCGCTCCGAGTGGTTGGGGGGTTCGGTGCCTTGCTCAAGGGCACCTCGGCAGTGCCCAGGAGGTGAACTGGCACCTCTCCAGCCACCAGTCCACGCTCCATATTTTGGTCCGGACGGGGACTCGAACAGGCGACCCTCCGGTTCCCAACCCAAGTCCCTATGGACTGAGCTACTGCCACCCCAATTAATGTCTCTCTGGAAGACAGCCTGCAGTTGTTGGTGAAAGGTCTCTTTCTCTTCAAAAACAGCAGTGTTGGTGGGAGCGTAGCACTGGATGAATGTGATATTGCGTCCTTTTGATGTAAATCTGGCTGTGATGATCCGTTCTGAAATTGGTTCCTATTCAATGAGGCTTTTAACTGCACCTTTTGAAAGGAGTAGTCCTACTATGTGTGTGTGTGGGTCTTCTTCTTTGGGGTTGCCTGAACAGAGAAAGGTCTCTCCAGTGGCAGTTGTTACTTCTCTAAAGGTATTTCGTCTGCTCTCACATACACCAACAATGCTTGCATTTCTTTGGTCAGTTGTGCCAGTTTTCCAGTTTGGTATAGTGTTCTGACATTCCAGCATCCAATTCTCGTTCTTCACTTCAGCTTCAGCAGACATTTCCCCCCCTGGGGGTTCTGATGAGTTTTCCCCAGGCGGTTCATACATCCCACTTGCGCGTCGTCAGTTAGGCTTCGGTCAGTCAGAGGTAGAGTTTCCATAGTTTCGGTTTCTGTAACCAGTTTATTTTTCCAGGGACAGGTAGTTAGCCCATCGCCCAACCCCCAACCTGGAGGGCCAGGGATTTGTTTACACTTGCCTTGTGCTAGGAGAGTGGTCTTCCCAGACTTGAGTAGTCTCTCCAGCTGCTTGCAGTGACCTCTAACTGGTCTTTTTGCTGCTTGCTGTTGGCCACATTGTTTGGCTCTTCCACCAACCAGCTTGGAACTTCACTGTTGATAGATACAGATTCCTCCGCTGAAGGTTTCCATCCGTCATTCCTGCTGCCGATGTCTTCACCTGAATTCCGAACCCTTTCCAGTGTTCCTGTGAGACCTTCTTGGCTACCGTAACGGCCCAGGGGTTTCTGAGTCCCCCACCATACATCGCTCTCACAGGCAATCCCCTACTTGGCATTTCCCTGGTGTGCACCACTAGGAGGTGGAGTAGGATTTTAGACGGCCTTAGGACCCGAAAATGTAAACAGGGAAAACTGACAGCTCCGTCTTTTTGTTGACTTATTATTGTGTCAAAATGAACAATTTAATGTAAATATATGGTATATAATCACCATCATCATTAATATATGTATGTAACATGATTGTATAATCTTAGGGTCTACACACATCCCTTTGCAGGTGCTAAAAATGGCCAGTGTTGTGATTTATTTTTCTATGTTTGCCCCCGTTAAGTTTCTTTTATATTGCTGATAATAGCGACAGCCTACAGTCTCTGCGTTGTGTTGTGATAATGATGGTGGACTAACGGCTAACAGTTAGTAACGTCAGTTGACTCCAACAAAGACACACAGATGCTCCGATGTCGATTCAGTGATAACTGTTTATTGCTTACAAGCACTTCGGGGTCTGGGGGATACAAGCCCGGTCTCAGTAAAACTATTTAATATAAATAAAATCATAATTAAAGGAAACTTACAATACTAATAAATGATGTCAACATGACGAAGCTTAATAACCGTTAAATAACAAATTACATGGTCAACGGTCTAACCTTGACCAGGATCAAAGACCATACCTGTCAAGTTTTGGATCTGAAAATAAGTGAAATTTTCCGGCGCCCACCGCAAGCCGTCCCACTACCCCAACCAAGCTCCAGTATCTCTTACGTTTTAAGACAGGTGTACAGGAAATCTAAAATAACCACTTGTCAACCACTTACTAACTACAATTAGGTGATCAGAATCTGATAGGCCTACCTTTGTTGACATTGAAATGCTGTGAACATTCCTACGTTATAATACAGGGTTATTATGTTATTATGTTATTATAATACGGGAAATTTACGGGAAAATACTAATACGGGAGGACGGCGGGAAAGAGGGGTAAAATACGGTAGTTTCCTGGCCAAAACGGGAGACTTGACAGCTATGTCAAAGACTTACTATATCACAAATTACATAAAAGACACTATTGATACAGATGAACCAGTACACATTGATAATCCCTCTGAATGTCAATATAGTTATAATTAGTAATATAGTCTCTCTCAGATCAGCTATACATTAATATTTACAGGTTTCCATTTAACAGTCACACACTCACGTGGGGGATACAAGCCCAGTCTGACTTGTTCCCCCGGTGATGGGCTTTATAGCCGCATCGTTACCTTGGATACTGTGTAGCCAAGTATTAAATTTGAAATATATGATAACAGCATAAAAATATGAAAATAACACAAATATTCAAGGGTCATCTTCTTCCCTGCCACACACCAGCTGGAGGAAGTTGGAAGGGGATTTGGGCAGCTGGTCCAGCATGAGGCCTTCAACAATGCTGTGGGGGCCATAGATGGCTGCCAGATATGCATCAAACCACCTAGATGCGAGCAATATGATTACTTTAATTACAATCAGTTTCATTCAATTCAATTACAAGCCATCTGCGACTCAACCGGGAGATTTTTGGACATTTATGTTGGTTACGGGGGTTCGGTACATGACACCAGGGTTTTGAGAAACAGTCCTGTTTATTTTAATTCCTTGTCAGGCCTGCATTTTGCTCTGAAGTGATAATGGCCTGCGCAGTCCTCCACAACATGTGCCTTAGACATGGGGATGTCCTGGAAGAGCCAGAGATCGAGCCTGAGGAGCCTGGTACCCCTGCTCCCCCTGCTCCAGTTGAAGACACCCAGGAGAGAAGTGGAGCCCACATCAGGGACAGGCTATGTGCCCAAATATCAGCCCCCCAGCAACCTTAGGCCATTTGAAGAAAAAGAGGTTATTGTTTGTGATGGATGCAACATTTTCTTTGAATGACAGCATACAATTAGGTGCGCACCTTAAAATATTGACATATATTGATATAGACTTACTTACAACAAAATCTTTAAATGCACCTACTAGAAATCACAATTCAACAATAACACAGAAAACAAATGCAGATGGCAGCCAACTCAATTTTAATGTGAAGCAGCTTTAAATAAATACATTTTCATTTTTTGTTCAACACAAAATTCTAAATGATATAAAGAAACCCCTAGGGTCCACAACTTAAGATTTTCATTCTGCAGGATTAATTGAAAGTTATTTTTGTTTGTCAACTAATGCTCTAAA